CCTCAGTCAACAGTAGCACTACACTAGGGAAGTTGTAAGAAAGAATTACATTCTTGGGTCTCATCCTAGACCTACTGAATCAAATACTAGGTTTGGGGACCAGGAATCTCTGGTTTAACAAGCCCTCAAGGTGATCTGATGCATGCTGAAGTTTGGGAACTACAGAATAGTGGTTCTCGTATAGTAAGTTTATACTAAGTTTGAATCCAGTTCCGCCTGATCAAGCTTGAAAATATGAGTGTTGGAAATGGGACACTAAAATAATGAAGCCCAGCCTTTATGCTTAGGGATAATAAGTGCACCTATGACCAAGCCCATGAATTATAAAGAATTGTAGCTGTTGTCATTCAAAGTTATTGCACATTTACTTGACTGTCTACTATGTATGTCTGCAGGATTATTTATAAACTTTGTGTAACCTTCAACTTTTTACAAAACTAGATTTTTTATAAGTATGCAAGGTGAAAATAAAATTTGTTTGCCTGATAGTTGATAAATGTAGCATTTATACTGGCATTTAGTGAGTTTTAATCTTTTAATGATTTTTATGGCTATCTACCTTGGGGAGACTGGCTCATCTTTTTCCTAAGGGAGCTTTAAGGGAAAAAATGACAGTTTTGCTTTTTGATGAAAATCTGTGGCCTTTTAACAGTAGGCTAACATTCACAGTACTACAGAATAGGTCAGTGGCACTCCAATCTCTCCCTTGCTTCCAAGCAGCCCATTCATTTTTCATGAAGAAAATAATTATCAATGTTTAGATAAAGGAATTAGAACTGAACGTGAACTATTGGGCTTGGAGTTTAGTTCTCGGACTTAAAAGTAATTCTACTAAAAATCAAAACATGCTACATGAAATCTGTTAAAAGCACTTTATTGATTACAGTATCAATTCACAGCAACATTATTTCACAGAGCTACTGTACAACTAAAGGAACGAATTACTGCAAGAAAGATTCAAGAATACTGTTAAATCATGATACAAGTCCATAGTTTGGTTTAAAGCTTTTTTCTAAGAGCTTTAATCTAATACATTCACCTTTCCCACAAACTACTGACATTCAGATTCAGTTGGCCACAGCTGTTGTAGAAACCATTCTAGGTGAAGAAAAACATTTTAATCAACTTAAAAAACCCACTTAGACATGAATGCCTTTGGATAAGAATATGCAAATGCAAGTGTTCAGATGCTTCTTTGAAAAGAGAAAACAGTAGGATAGAGCACCATTGTGTAAGACACAGAAAAGGCTTGAAATATCTACCAAGTATATCACTGAAGTTCTATTAATTAAAAAATACTGTATGATGGAAGATTTTGTCAGGCACATTTAACACCAGTTGAAACATATAACCAGCTTTTTCATATTGCTGCATTAATCAACTATTTTGTAGGATCAATTGGATTTAAGAAAAAAGACAGGAAATTTTATCAACATGCAAACAAATTTGCTAAACACAAGGTGTACCATCATTCTGATTAATAAATTACTTTTTAAAACAATGCTTAGACATTCAACTACAGACCACTTTACTGAGTACCTATTATAACCAATACTTTTAAATATAGCACTGAATTTAAGGCAACTTACAATGAACAATGGGAGAAAAACTAGTAAATATGAAGGGTACTTCACATTCTACTTAACCTAATTTAAAATACCAATTTTATTCACTGCGCTACCATTTCTCACAAGATAGTCTGACTGGTGGGTGTTTTAAAAATTCTAACAGGAGGTAAGAAACACTTTAAAATTTTGCTTTCCACAGTGGCAAAAGGGAAATTAGAAACTGAACATAGTACTTAATTTTAAAATGTTTTTAAGTCTGATTCACACTGTGAAGATTTTAGAAAGAACATGTTTATTACTAAAATCATAGGCCCATTTGGGAGATTGTTTAATCACTTTCCATTAACGTTTAAACACATCAACAGGTAAGCTACAAGTATTCAACTGTTATACTTTAAACTGTGAGACATTCACCAATGATCAAGCATAAATTTCCATGAATGTCTTCATTTTTAAAAGTCTTAATAATATTACTAAATCTAAGACATCAAAAGTGTTGGAGAAGTTTAGTTATATAATGGCACAGTACTTTTTTTTTTAGCAACAATAAAAACTTCACTTTGTCACCTGGAGAAGCCAAGATCCATTTCTCTTTCAATATGTTAACTTTAAAATTACTTAACACATTCCAGACGCAGCTACCTCCGTTATGTCTAGGAAACTATCATCATGCAGTATTAATCAGTTCAACTGAGTCTAAATTAAAATGAGATTGCTTACTAGGCTCTCTTGAAGAATTAAGTATCTCCTGATACTTAAGTATCTCATGAAATATTAAGCCTAAATCTTTGCCTCTCTGAAGATGGAATTCAATATGCTGTTGTAACCACAGACTCAACTATAAAAATCCGAGCTAGGGAGGGATCTTGGATATTAAGTCTAAATCTCTGATAGCATAGCTGCCAAAGATGAGGCCTGTCCATCAAAGTGGAGGTGATGTTCTTGCTGATAGCACAAAGTTGCTTTCTTGAGCAGGTTTATGGGATGGTTTGCTGAAGCACATGGCAATCACTCCACTTTGTTTTAGAAAAGAATATGTGCCTTTAAAATATTCTTGGCACATCTTAAAAAAACCTGTTCTTTACGAAGTGATTAAAGACTCTACAAATAAACCTAACTGAGGCGCATGACCGTTTAAATGTTTCTTAGGTAAATAGAAAAAAATCAGGCACCAGAACTGCAATATTGATAAGATTCCTTAAAACTACTTTTGGCCATATTTTTTTTAAGGTTTGAAAAACTGAGATTCAAACTGTACTGTGCTTCTACAAATTGTACTGACTTTAGGGAGTTCTTATGCACAAAAGAATCAGACGAGCAGATGCACTCAAACTGCAAGGAAACATATTTAGCAGCTGGAACCCATATCACTAAACAAAGGTTTAAGTAGTAAGTTAACATGGTAATGAGGTCACCATTCAGTCATATGTATAATACGGTCATAGTAGCCATAGTAGTGGTTAATTTTCAGTTGCCTAATACATATTTAATTATGGGAATTGCTTTTTAACTATCTACTAAAACTTTAATAACATTAAATCACTTTTATTAACATTTTGAAGACCACAGACTTTTAGAGTCTGTATGCCTCTGACTAAAGTATCTTGTTACTAGAACCACTTTCAAAGTAGAGGAGATACTCTCTTTTTATATATATAAGGCTATTTTGCACATGGTAGAAGTACTTTCTTGAAGAGGATTTTGGAATAAATTGCTGAACTACATGGTAAACCCTCACCCCTCTCTACTTTTGGAAATGAATATGTCCCTTTGAAGTATTCTTGCCTTATCTCAAAGAGCTGCTCTTTATGAAGTGATATAAATAGTCCACAAACATTAACAGCTAAAGTTCACAGAAATCTTGAATGTGTATATAAATATACATTCATGCCTGCCATCTACGAGTCTGTGTTTTTGATCCTATATCTTAATCTTCATTTTCCCATTTTATTCTTTTTAGTATCTTAAAAGTTACTGATTTCATTATGGTTGATGCACTTATTAGCACATCCACAATATAAAAATGAAAATTTACAAGTAAAATTTGGGAGTATTTAGGTTAGGGTTACAGGTGATCAAAAGTTAACAGACCTATATCTCAACAGTTACTGACACAGTTTACTGTTACGAAACACAATGCACTTCTACGTCAGAAAAACCCCACGACTTTACCATCAAAGAAGACTAACAATCTTCTACTGTCAATCATTTAGATTATTTTTAAGAGAGAAATCCAAGGGGCAAGGATCTCTGTTTAAGTTCAAGGGGGCCCGTTCTAGTAATACACACATATCACTGACAAGCAGAGGAATTGCTTAGTATTTTCCTCTGACCCTTTCAAGAACTGCTCTTAGAATCTTCTTTTGGCTTTAAAGTGGGGGTCACTTTGATCTTGGTATCCTTTGAAGCAAAACCACTTAGAAACCAATATTTTGTGCTAATGGGAGGAAATATAGAAGATCAAAAAGCTTGAATGTCTGCTTTTTAAATTTTTGAAGGCACGGAGAGTTAACATCAATTCAGATTTTATGTGAACAAATTTATAAAGCAACCTTCTTAATGATTATAACTAGTCAGACTTGGTGACTGGTTAGATTTTATACTTCTTTGAAAAACGTAATGCCATCACATTATTTTTCCTACCTAGATACACACTGATGGAGAACACTGGGAAAAATCTTTCAGATGCAAGGACAGTCCAAATGTTCATCAATCTGCTGAGATGAGTGCACCTTACAAACTCAGTTCTAGAATATGAAATCAATAGGAAAGCCCAGCTATTTCAAATGCTACCTAAGTGTCATTTGATCATAACCAGCTTTTTAAAATAACAAGAACCATTCCGATGTGATTACTGCTATCTGCCAATTAATATAATACGAGTTTCTTATGTATGTCTAAAATTTCAGAGTGAGATCTCTATTCCCTGGCCATCAGATTATGTCCCCTTCAAAAGACTAAACATGACCACTAATTTAAATTGATAAGATGGCAGAGGATATTGCAGAAACTAATGATATTCACACGGACTCCCCTCAGTGGTACCTAGGCCTGTCAGCATTCTTAAACAGCAACCAGGATCTCTTTTAGATCAAAATGGTCGGAATACAAGGAGACTTGCTTCAAATATCAGTACACATCAATGGTATCACTTCCATCTATTACTGTGCCTGGTTCCTCCACTACAAAACTCAAAACTATGACACTTTTTAAGGTATACAAGGTTAAAAATGTAGTTCTTAAAAAATGCAAACACATACTCTCAAACATGATAGGCTGCTATAATGTGTACATTCTGTTCTACACAAAGGAAAACAATTAGACAGTACAAGCAAAAATTCATCAAGGTTAAATTAGCTCAACTCCTCAAATTAATACACTGGTCCTGATCTCAGCAAGCACCTTTACCTTGTTTTCACCTTTTTTTGTTTTGTAGTTTACTGAAAGCTTCTTTTTGTATATAATAATAGAAAAATCTTCACCTGCAAATATAAGGTAAATTCTTTTTCACAGCTATAGGCTGTAGTACTGATTTCTCCAGGTATCAGTGGAGAACAGAAAATTCGTGCTGTTAATTCCAGATTCTAAGAAAACTGTCCCAAGACCCTGTTGCCACAGCCATGCCATCATCAGTTACACCTAAACAGCTGACACGGTTGTCATGACCAGCAAGAACACCTGAAAAACAAAAGTTCAGTAAAAAGTTAGCAATGGGCAAGTTTTAGAATTAAACAAGTGTATGCATAAAAGATCTGGGAGGGTACTTAAAAGCTAACAGGTTCCCCAGAGTTGAGAGACTGAGTGCCAGGGGTAAGCTGGGCATGTAGGTAAAACAAAATTCTTTGTATTCCATGAACTTCTGACATGTGCATCAAATTGTGTTTTTCATTTTTGAAAAATTATTTTATAATTATGCTTATGTTCAAAATCACCTGTTCAACAACATGTAGACTTTTATTTTACATCTCTAATAAGTTCATGATACTTCTAAATTTTGCCAATAAGCTATGCTATTTTCAACAAAAACAAAATTTTTTTTTTTTTTTT